AAAAACAAGTAGTAGTATTATGTGTGGGTAGTTGTACGTGTCCTGCTGGGAGTGTTACCTTGGTTGGTGCCACAGGGAAGAATTAATCCATAGGGCTCTAGGCAAGATATGGGCACGCAAGAGCCTTTCCATGGGTCATGCCATGCCAAGGCCATTCCTGTGTGGATGCTGGGGGATGGAATCAGGTAAAAGCACAGAAATCGGGTTGCCTGCTGCTGAGACACATCTGCTTATCCCCACAGAGGCCAAACGCTGTTGAGCTGGTGGTGGATGTTGGCTGTGGGACCGGACAAGGCACCCGCTTCCTTGCAAAGCACTTCAAGAAGGTGGTGGGAACGGACATCAGCGAAGCGCAGATCCAGGAGGCAAAGGATGCCCCCTTCCTGCCCAATGTCTCCTACCTGTGAGTGTTGAGGATGCAAGCTCAGCCAAAGGCAGAATTCAGGTCCTTACACAGAGGTGGTGTTTTGTGAGTATGATAGTTGTAAGAGCCAGCTGGCACCAAAGAAAATCCCAGTTGATGGGATTTCTGGTGTGAATGGGCGTTATCCTAGATTTCTAGAAGCCGTGGTCTTGCATCCCAAATGACTGATTCCAAAATACACCCACTGACTTTATGTCCGACTCCCTAATTCCCGTATTATACGCTGCCTTTTCTCCTTCCCTCTTCCAGCGTGTGCCCTGCAGAGGAGCTGCCACTTGAGGATGCCTCAGTGGACGTCCTGGCTTCATTTACTGCTGCGCACTGGTTTGACATTGAGAAGTTCATGAAAGAAGCAAACCGGGTGCTTAAGCCGGGCGGTTGTGTGGTCATCTGCACCTATACCATGGACATGAGTCTGCGCTATGGAAACTGCTCTGAAAAGTTAACAAAAATCTTCAGAGAGGTGAGGTGGTAAAACCTAAACCTCAAGGCTTCCCCTCCTGATCTGGGCAGGGGAAAATGTGTAATACTTAAATGTAGAGAGGAAAGAAATAGGCTTGGGGGCTATAGGACTAGAGGACTCCTGTTACAGAATGGGGCAGAGGGATGGCTAAATACAAGAACAAGGTTGAGCTGGGGTGTAGTGGTTCCCACATAGTGCTGGGGCTGGCTGGATGAGAAGAGGGACGTTAGGACTAACAGGGCAGACTCTGGTGTGGTGAGAAGAGCTGTGGAGCAGATTTTGGGGGCTGCTATCATCAAAGACTTCTGTTGCCCTGATCACAGTGGAAAGAAGGGGAAGTAGAAACTTTGGAAAGATGTTTTCTTAGTGATTTTTTTTTGACAAAATGTTTTAAAAACTCAAAGTGGAAAGTCTCCTTTTAGTAACAGCAGTGTACAGAGGAGAATAGGACCCTTACCTCTCTAATAAAATGGAGTCCTTGACTTCTTGATGCTGAGCAAGATGTTGGTGAATTTTAATGCAAGGAGTACTAAAAAAAAAAAGTATGAATGCACAACTCTAGGGCCAAGCAAGCCTGAGTTAAGTGGAAACTGAGAGCTTCAAGTGGTTTTGTGCTTGTTTTTTAATCTGCTGTCTTTACAGTCCTGGGATCTGCTTTTAAAATACTCACATAATAAAGTAAAACATGTCATGGAAGACTACAAAATGATCTTTGAGGCCTTGCCATTTCCAGATAAAAAGAGGTGAGTAGAAACTCCTTGGTGCAGCACCAGGAGTGGGTAAAGGTGGCGTCCCTGCTCCTCTGTGGGGTTGGTCTGCCGTCGACCCAGCAAGGACACAGGGGAGCTGGGTTTGCTGGAGCAGGTAGCTGTCAGGTTTTGGCAAATTCCTTTGCATCATGGCAGAACCATGTGGCTGCATTTCCAGTCCTGTTGGATTTAATGTGGCCCTATGCTGGGCCGGCAAGCGTGGTCTAAGGGCTACAAGGACCTCTCCTGCTCAAGGCACAGTTGGGTTAGATTTTTTTTTCCAGTTGGTGGTTTAAGATAATTTGAGGCTTCTGGGCAGATCATGAAATGGATGAAGAGAAAAATGGAGTGAGAGAGAGAGAACCTGCTACCTCCAGGGAGCCAGTGTCTGCCTCCCCACCAAGGCATGGGACAGAGGCTGGTTCCACAGTCAAAAGGTTTACCTTGGCGATGGCATTGCAGAGGTGTTGGTGTCCCAGCTGCTGCAGGGGAGTGGGCTCTGTGGGTAGGCCTGTATGGAAGGGGTTGTTCAAGTCACAGACTATATTAGGTGGTTCTTGGGACCATCTCCACTTCTCCAATAGTGCATCAGTTAGAATTCCTGACCTACCAAATGCCAGAATCGGCTATTTCCATCTCTTAGACCTTTGAGAACATCAGGTATTGTATTTGCTGCCACCTCAATCTGGTGGTGTCCCTGTTCTGCTGCCTTTGAGATTTAACTTGCCAATGCTCTGTTGATCCTCGTCTCCCTTCTAGAATCACTGATATTTATGACAAAATTCCCATGACTGTTTCTGGTGTGGTTGGCTACCTGGAGTCTGTCTCTCCATATCAAGTTTTTATGAAGAATGACCCTGAAGCTGCAAAATCCCTCCTCCCAGAGACTGAAAAGAGGTAAGAAACTTGCTTGGGGAAACAAGCAAGACATGTAAGAACCCCTCTTATGCAGCAAATGAAGAATGAGGTCATGGGGTTCCCTTCACAGCTAAAAGTGAGCTGTGCAGTGATGCACTCCCTCGTTCCCCTCCGATGTGGATGGATACTTGTTGGAGAGCAGATCCTCAGCTGCTCACACCATGATTGACCTCCATTTGAGTCAGTTGACTTTAAGTCCATGTAGGTGCATGGTGTTCTTGCACTGATGTATCCATGTAAGTCTCATGTCAGAGGTCCCCAGACTTTCTCTGCCTCCCTCATGATTAGCAGAGGGGAGGGAGAAATACCCATAACTGTGTCTTGATGTGTGATGCTACTTAGGCGCACAGCAAGGGCCTGCTGGAAAGGGCAGGCATCCATGTGCTGCTAATTTATTGACCAGAACAACCCTTGCGCATGTGTTGCGGATCCATCGTTGCCTCCTGCATTTGCCATTGAGACCTTAGTGCTTTGGGTAGAAGAGACCCATCTCTGGTTTTGGATGTGACACAATGTCAGGTGGGAGGTGGCTGGACAGAGTGAGACCTTTCCTCTGCTTCTTGTTTCAGGATGCTGGAGACGATGGGAGTTTCCTCTCGTGAAACCCCAGTGGAGTTCTGGGTGAGGCATGTCTGTGTGCTGGGGTGCAAGGGACAATGAGAGGAAAACCCTTCTCCTGATCTGGTGCTGGAAGGGAAGGAGAAAGTGGGTTGTCTCTTAATACCCCACTTGTAACCACCCTTGGGAGAATCGATGGTGATTTTGGTGATTAGAATTTTGATCTTCTGTGAAAAGCAGATGTGGGTTAACACCCGCTCAGGGCTTCCTGTCCACATTGCTTCTCCAGTCTGCTCAGCACTGTGCCCTCAGCACTGGAAGGGTCCAGTTTCAGACTGGTGGTGGTTGGATTGCACATAATGACAGTCACAGTAACAGCTGAGAATCTTGCTGCATTTCTTACACAACTAGTAATTAATAAAAGCTGAGAAAAAGTTGTGGTTCCACTTTTTAAGAGGCTGTAGAGCACCTGCTGGGGTGGGAATAACTGCTTCATGGACATAGCTCACCTAGGCCCTGATGAGTGGCCTTCTGTTTCATGGGGTGGGTGGGTTTTAGGTGGAAAGGACCATTTTGCCCCTTTCACTGCCCAGGCAAAGCTGAGAGCTGCCTTTAAAGGCCAAAAGGGAAAGGGGCTGTTCTTGCCCACCATGTGGCCTCATCCCTGGTGCTTTGCTGGCTTGTGTGGGTGTACCAGCAGCTTATCTGCCCCATGTTTGCTTAGTGCTGTGCCAACACTGCTGCTTCCACCCCCATGAGGCCACCTGTCCCTGGCACAGCTCAGGAGCTTCTGGGATTGCTCCTGCAAGGGAGCAGATTCATGCTTGCCTTGGTCCCAGCCTGCCATTGCTCACCTGTGCTGCAAAGGGAAGATTAGAGGCTGTGTTTCAGGGGGAGGCAATGGGGTTCAAAGCCTGGCACAGGTTTCCTCCTGTTTGCTTTCTGGAGATTCTAAGTCTAGGTGCAGCCTCTGCAGGGACCTGTCCCATTCCTGTAACTCCTGCCCCTGGCAAGAAGGCTGCCCTGATGCTGTGGGCAGGGCTGTGGCCTCACTGTGTTACTAAAGAGGAGATACCTCTGTCCCCACCATTAGAGAGAGCACCTGGAGGGACACTTGCAGGGGCTAGAGGTGCTTCAGCTGTGGTCCTGGGGCTCTCAAGTGTAGTCCTGCCATGGGTACTGGGACTGAACCTCCTTAACCTGGCAAAGGTGCTGAACCCTGGGTTTATCTCCATGTGGGTTGCTGAGTGGTGGCTCAACTTGCCCGGGGTGGGGAGCAAAGGCTCCACCCTGCTTGGTGGCTCCTAGGAGGGTGGTGGGGTGCCAGGAGGACAGCTATGGGGAGGAAAGCCCAGCACTGATGCAAAGCTGGTCTCTATGTCTATGGCCAGATGTTGGTTGGAGAAGACTTCGTGGAGTGGTGATGCTGGATCAAACCCTGCTGCAGGTCACCAGCAAGTACACTGCACTTGCATTTGGATGAGCAGTGCTCACTCATATCACCTCCCTTGCTGTGAGGATGGGGCTGGTGGCTTGTCATCTCCTGAAGGAGCACTAGAGGTCTCTCCTTGCCCAGGACCACACCAGGCAAAGGAGCTGGGTGCTGCTGGGAGGCGGGTGACCTGTCGAAGCCCCAGCCTGGCTGGCAGGGCTTGTCCT